CCCGCTGGACATCTCTGCCGGAGGGGGGGGACTCGGCACCCGGGACATCGCCAGCTTGGGAGTGGGGAGGGGCACGGGAGGCAGGAATGGGGTCAGCTGCACCTGGGGGGGGAGAGAGACCATCAACAACCAGGAGAAACCAGGAACAGCCAGCAGAAACCATCAACAGTCAGCAGAAATCATCAACAACCATCAACAGCCAGCACAGAACAGGGTCAGCTGCACGTGGGGGAAGAGAGAGACCAGAAACCATCAACAACTATCAACAACCATCAGAAATCATCAACAACCATCAGAAATCATCAACAACCATCAGAAATCATCAACAACCATCAGAAATCATCAACAACCAGCAGGGAACAGAGCTGAATTTCGTTCTGGAGAGAGTAAACCCATAGAAATCAACAATCAGCAGGGAAATGGAGCTGAGCTGTGCCTGGAGGGACAGGAACCGACAAATCAAACCCAACTGGAGGGGATAAATTCCTCTCTGTCCCCTCCAAACACCCTCCAGACTCGATGTGACAAGGGAAGGCTGCACTGAGGCATCTCCACGAGCACAGAGCTCCCCCAGGCCGAGCCCGGAGCCAGCACTGAGGGTTTGGCACAGGGAAGGGCCCGGGCTGAGCCTTCTGCTCACGGCTTTGTGTCCTGCAGCACCTCACACACCACGGGGACAAGAGGGAAAGCAGGCAGGGATTTGGGGACTGGCCACCTGTCTGCATGCTGAGCTACAAGATGGTCAGGGATGGAAAGGCTTCAGCAGGAGCAGGAAATAAATAAAGCATCAGAGCAGGCCTGAAACTGGGTTTTGTTGTTAAAATTGCAGTAATTTCAGTGATTTGGTTTTTAACTAACAGCTTTTTACTCGTTGCCACGAGTGTTCTGATCTCTGAAAATGCAGATTTTATTTGAGAAGAGTTAAAAGGATGGATAAAAAAAAAAAAAAAAAAGGCATAAAACTAATTTAAAATAACTTTGGAATAATCTGAAACAGCAATTCCACGGCCCCTCCACACAGCCCTGGCAGGGAGTTCTCCATGGGCTGGGTTTGCTGCTCAGGACACCTCAGGTGTCACCAGGTGTCACCTCCCCAGCAGTGCTGGCACCCCCGGGCTGGAGCAGGATGGAAAAGCACGGCAGGTTTGAGGGAAATATTCGGGAAATAATTCAGATATCACAGCTCAGGAGAGGCAGGGACACACGGCAGGCACAGGCAGAAATATCAAACACAGGAAACAAAACTGCAAATATTATTTTATGGCCCCGTGTGTACAGTGGGAGTTTGCTACTCCTCGGCTATAAATAACAAACTCCTGGCTCGGGACTGAGCTAAAATCAGAGCGATTCTCACCCCATTCGCGAGCACTTCCAGATGGAGACATCGGATCCGCACAGGAAATGTTCCCTTGTCACCCTGCCCAAGTCCCCTCCCGGCCCCACAGCTCAGCCCCGGGAACCCCTGGAGAGCCCACACCTCACCTGGCACAGGTGGGCACGGAAACTCCACAAAGAATCCCGGGACAAACCCCGAAATCAGCGGAGTTTAACCCCAAAAATCTGTCACCTTCTAAGGATAAAGCAACTCCTAAGAAAGGCAGGGAAATTCCTGGGGACTTGCACTTCCAGATGCACTCGGAGGGAGGGAAGGAAGGAAATTTTTAATTGAGGCTTTTGAGGGGTTCTTGGTGCTTTTTGGGGTTTCTGGTCCTTCCCCAAGTCGGGAGAGGCCACATCTCATCCCTCTTCCCACCGGGAAAATTCCTGTGTCCGTCACCGATGGGATGGGATG